TTGGCTACCAGAAATCGCTTACCCCACCTTTAAATTAAAATTGGAATGGTTTGATTTTAATTGTAGGTCTTTCTGGAGGTCTCATCCCATTTGTACTGTTGTGACGTAATTGCTTGAAGCATAGAAGCAGTATAAGAGTGCTTTAAATAATCTGGTCAGGCAATGTTACAATCTTTAAATAGTTCTTTAGTTTAGCCAGTTTGTATTATGAGATAAAGTTTTTTGTTCCTTTTATTTAGCAAGGACACGTTAAATTGATCAAAAGCAGTGGTGAAGATATTTATAATGTTACAAAAGAATTCTACTTCAAATAAATGCGGTTCTTCTGAACTAGCTGTTCATCAAAGAATATTGAAAATAAATACATTTTGCAATTATTTTAATATTTGTAATATTTATATTACAGAAAGATTTTTATATTCTCACCAAGGCTGCAAATAAATGCAATTTGTGCATAAATGCAAAATGCGCAATATCTTCTGAAAAATAGTATGGATAAAAAAGAGAAAAATCTCTCACAATTCTGTCTATATGGTCTAATGTGTCTTTTTCTTTACTCTGTCTTTTCTTCCTACTGTTCTCTCCCTCGCACACACTTAGCCATGGCAGTTTGTTGATGAGCGCAGCAGATGTTGCAGTCAGGGTCCAGGGAGAATCAGTGGCAGCAGAAATGGTGGGCACTATTAAACTATTAGTTATGGAGAGGGTTTGACTCTCTCCCCCACTCCATTTCCTTGATAAACCCCCGAGACAACACAGATAGAGGGGAGAAAGCCTTCTGACTCATGCCTTTGGCTTGGAGATGCAACAAAGTAAAGATCTCCTTTTTTGTATACATAAGTACCCGCATTCACAAACACACGCCTGCATTTAACTAAATAAACCTCTCTACTACTGAGAACCTCTCTGCTGGTTTTGTCTCAAGATGAGACTGAATCCGAAGAATGAAATCATCACACCGGCTGCCACGTCTGCGTTCATATTAGAACAGCTCGCAATCTGTCGCCAAATGAAACTGGCATGGATGACACAAAGTGAGGGAGCGTGGGATGGAGAGATGGCTTGTAGGAAGCGGAGAGAGGAGCTTGGACTGATTGCCATTGGAATTCCCCAAGTAACTTTGAGTCCAATTTGATTTACACCAGAAAAGTCTGGCATCCAGAATGCCAGCCTTGTTTAAATGCCAATCAAGATTCATTCAGTATGACGAGGCCTGATTTCAAGTCCAGTAGAAAGCCAGAGAGTGTGGATTTTACTCAAGATGGGCAGTGAATTTATGGGACTGGAAATGAGGCAGTGAGGGATGAATGTGTAGCCAGTTCTGTGGGTCTTGGGTTGCAACTTATTTTATTTTATTTTATTTTATAATTTTATTTTATTTCAAAATGAACTCATAGATGGGATTCATCTTTAGTGATGGTGCCATAGTCAAATAGGAAGGGACTCACTTTACAGATATATAAAAACACTGAAAATGAAAAGAAAATGGACAGGGTGATAGAGGAAGGCAGTAAAGATATTATAGCCTTAAATGACGTAAGAGGAAAGGGATTCAAGTCTTATAAAAAGAGGGATGAAAAGCAAAAGTGTTTGTGGTTCATGAAAGGTTTGGGTCCATTTGCGGTGCCTCTGGACAAGCTGAAGCAGCAGTCTGGACAGATTAGAAGAGCTATGAATCTGAGGGCTGATGGGTATTTTTAGAGTGATTTAGAGTTCCTGACAATAATGATAATGATAACACTGCGGTTCTACAGATTGAGAGGGAGAGAGAGAGAGAGAGAGAGAGAGAGAGTGAAATGCCACACCGCATCTCTCAACAATTTTCCTCTCTTGAGATTAGTTTTATTTGTGGGATAACAGTATTCTTGAAATATGAGCTGGAATTTTAAAAGGGTTGTTTAGTCTGTGCCGATAGCTTTGTGGACAGCGTGCCGACATACAGCACCGTTGTGCTATGGGTGACCCGAGTTCAAATCCCAACTCGAGGACCTCTCCCGATCATACCCCTCTTTCTCTTTCCCACTTCGCTTCCTGTCAGCTCTGATCTGTTTTATTATAATAAAGGCAAAAATGTCAAAAATAAATCTTTAAAAAATAAGTTGATTTGTGGAAAAATTAAATGTTAAACAGAAATACAAAATTATTGTATTAAAGATTTGGGGCCCTATCATACATTCGGAGCAATGCGGCGCCAGGCGCGACTCAAGTTTTTCTTGCTAGTTTCAGCCCGACGCAGTTATCATTTTCACGCCCTGCGCCACGTTGTTTAAATAGCAAATGCATATGCTCCCATTTGTGTGCTCGTGGGCATGCTAATCTGAAAACGAGGTGTGTTCAGGCGCATTGTTGGTGCGTTGCTATTTTGAGGCAACTGAAATAGACTGCGCCATTGACCAACTAAAACCTGGTCTAAAGTCAACGCAGTAGTTTTTGTTATTTAAAGAGCTCGTTAGTAATATGCGCCTATAGGTGGGTCCACAATGCGCATGCACTCTGCTTATTACACACACAAACATGCCAAGTGGGTCCAAACGCAGCAGCACACAAACATGCCAAATATTCAAATTTAAAGGATTACAGTTTAAAAGATTATTATTGTGTAGGCTACATAAATATAAATATGCCTACATGTCATAATGGATAGTCATTGCATGTATCAGAATTAGGCTACCTATTTGCTCGCACACGAGCAGCTCCGTTTCCTCTCTGGAGACGCATTCAGTCTTTGCGCTTGCAACTTCTGCTGTGTAAATAGCAAATCCGCCATGGCACGAGCGCAACTGGCTCTTAAAGGGAATGGGAGATGAAACTCTGATTGGTTTATTGCACGTTATGCCCAAAACACACCCATTACTCATTAAAAGAATAGGGACAACCCTTTAAGACCATGCGCCGGGTGCGCTGACCGTCTTTCCCGTCGTTAAACTAGCAAAAGTGGATTCGGACACGCCCTAAGTGCACCTGCGCCTTGCGCTTCAGACCATGTGCTTAGATCGTTAAAATAGGGCCCAAAGTTTCAGCATATTTGCGCTAGCTGCCCTCTGTGCATTCTGATTCATACAGTGCCTTGCGAAAGTATTCATACCCCTTAATTTTTTTTTACATTACATTTTATGTTGCTGCCTTATGATAAACTTCTTTAAATTACTTTAGCAAAAACAGAATTGTCACAACTTCGTAAATGTATTAAAAATTCAAAACTGAAATAAGTACATTGCATAAGTATATAACTAAATATTTAGCTGAAGCTCCTTTACAGCCTCAAGTCTTTTTTTGTTTGATGCGACAAGCTTTGCTCATCAGCAATTTGCAATTATCTGCCATTCTTCACCTCACCTGTTCACCTCTCAAGCTCTGTCAGGTTGGATGGGGGCAGATGCACATTTTCAGGTTTCTCCAGTTTCATGCGTCTTCACTGAAGAGAGGATTGAGTTTGGCCACACTGCCAAAAGAGTGGATTGGTGGAGTGTTGCAGCGATGTTTGTCCTTCTGTAGATTTCTCCTATCTCCACATATAATCATGGAGCTCAACTATAGTGTCAGGTTCTTGGTCACCATGCTAACCAAAGCCCTTCTCCATCAATTGCTCAGTTTGGCCAGGAGGCCAGCTCTAGGAAGAGTCCTGGTTGTTTCAAACTTCTTCCATTAAGGGTAACAGAGACTACATGCTTCTTTGACCCTTCAATGAAGCAGAATTTTTTTCTGAACTCTTCCACAGATGTGTGGCTTGACGCCAATCCGGTTTCTGAGCTCTACAGGCAGTTCTTTTGACCTCAGGGCTTGGGTTTTGCTCTGATATGCATTATCAGCTGTTAGACCTTTTGTTAAGACGTGTGCCTTTCCAAATCATACCCATTCAATTGAATTTGCCAGAGGTTAACTTCACTTGAAGTGTAGTAATATCTACAAGCAAAATGAATGCTCCTGAGCTAAATTTCAACTGTCCCAACTGTATGAATACTTAGGCAATGGAATCATTTTAGTTTTTTATTTTTAATAAATTTGCAAAGATGTTAAAAAACAGTTTTTTTGCTTGACAATTATGGTGTATGGACTGTAGATCGTTGTGGGAAAAAAAACTAATTTAAAGCAGTTTAACATAAGGCAGCAACAAAACAAAATGTAAAAAAAATTAAGGGGTATGAATACTTTCACAAGGCACTATAGTAATGATGTCTGAATCATTAATTTGAATCAGATCTTTTCCAATGAATCAGTTAGTCACAGATCAGTTAGTTCACAAATGATTCATTTCTTGGGTTCAACTCACTGACTCAATGTTCATTGAGATTATCAGTATATAGATTCAATTTTAAGTCTTTTATCTCATACTTAGCATCATAATTATTCCTTCAATGTCCTCTGGAATTATAAACAGTTCACTACCATTCAGTAGTTTGGTTATCGCTAAGATCTCTAAGATGTTTTTTAAAGGCTTTATATTTTTGTTCATAAATATAGTAAAAAATGTATGCTGTGAAATACTATTACAATTTAAAATATAAAAGTATCTATTTCAATATATCTTAAAAGGTAATTTATTCCTATAGCGGAAAAGCTGAATTTTAAAATTTTAGTTTTAAAACGGTTTGTGCTGCTTATTTTTGTGAAAACAGTGATAGTTTTTTTTTCAGGATTGTTTGATGAACAAAGCTCAAAATAACAGCAGTTATTTGAAGAAAAAGAAATGTAGAAAGTGTAAATATTTTGTAACATTATAAATGTTCAATTATGATCAATTGAATGCTTCCTTTCTGAATAAAATTAATTCCCTTCAAAAAAGAAAAAAATCTTACTTGACCCCCAAACTTTTAATTGAGCCATAGTGTTGCGTTTGGTCTGTTTTCCTTCTTGTGCTCTGCTCTCTAGCTTTACACTAATTCAGATTTATATTGCTTGCATCAGACTGGCCCGATTATGTAACTATAAGTTTGTCTACTTTTTAATTACTGTGGTGCATATGTATTCAGTAAATATTCATATCTACATCCTCTCCGCAGGTAATTCCCAGATGGGGGCCACTATAGTAGACGCCCTGGATACCCTTTACATAATGGGCCTCCACGATGAGTTTAAGGATGGCCAGGAGTGGATCAAGCAAAACTTGGATTTCAGTGTGGTAAGTGGCCAAGACTCGGACACGAACACACATACACACACACACATGCTTACCAACAACACTTGTCTTTGTCGGTTTGGAGGCAAAGCGCGTCTGTTTTTGTTTGCAGACAGTTATATCTCAGGACTCTTGTTATTTCACAGTGGTAAGCTGTATACTTTGGCAGCCAGCTGACACAGCTGTATTAACAGTCATTCAACACCCCGTGAACCCTCAAAGACTTCAGTCCTCAGCGTGTGTGCATCTTTCAGGTTTTGATCAGATTGTGGTGGCACTCTGTGGATAACGTGTTGAGTTGATGTGACACATCACCGTATCCAGGAGACAAGACTGGCGCCATGGAAACAATGTGAACCGCTCTGCCTTCGGAATTAGCCGGTGATGTTGAGGAAAAAATGGCAGACAAAAGAGACGTCAGAGAATGAAGCAGGGGCCGGCGAGTGGCCCCAGGGGCCTAGGCTTGCCGCGATAGACGGTGCTGACGGTGGTACCGGTGTTAAGCCGCAACACCGGTTACGTCACTTGCCCACCGCGGCAGCG